TTAAAACTTTTCCAAAGCTCTCCTACTTCTGTGCAAACACAAAAAGAGACATCCTTACTGTGAATTAAGTCGACTACCTCTAGTGAACGAGTACCCCATCCTTGTACGTTGAATACAAGAAAATTTAGCCTGGCATTGTTGATGTCTACAGTTCTAGATAGTTACAGTTTCATTTTCTCTCGTTCCAGTGCAGTCTCATCATCAATATTATATCCGTAGAGTTAGGCTAAATCTCCCTCTTCCAATTGTTCTTTTCTGATCGTCTAATTTCTTGTTCATCATTTCTAAATTTTTATTAATTTCCTTTAACACATCAGCTACTTCATTTTTATTGGTATTGTTATTACTATCTGTTTTTTGTGTATTCCACCTATTTTCAATATTTCTATCCATTTTAATCAATGGTGGAAAGGCATTTACATCATATTGATACTCATTTGATTTTTTTATTTGTTTTATTTGTTCTACATGTGTATTATAGTTTAAATCACCATTTCGGATGGCTTGTTTCACTTCTTTATTTAATTCTTGACGGTGTTTTTGCACCATAGGACAATTTCCATCCAATGAGAAATGATTACTCCCACACTGCGCACATTTAAACTGACCTTCACATTCATTTCTATGATTATTAGTAAACTCGCCTAAACATACTCGACATTTAGGATGGTGGCTACTACAATTTAATGCTGTATGCCCTAATATGTAACATTTTGAACAATACGTGAGTTTATTTGAGGGTAAATAAGGAGTGACTGGTAGTAGACGATTACCCACTGCTAATTTGCCTAAATTTAATGTTTCATAATACTCCTCCAAATCCTTAACGTAAAACCGATAGTCTGTTGTTGTTCTGTCATATGCATAAACGATTGGATTACAATCTTGAGCACTGGTAATTGATTTCTTAATTTCATTAAATACGAAATCAGCTGAAAAATTTTTCGGTACATACCTTATTACTAATGAAAAATGAGCTGCTATTACTTTTGGTTTAATCACTTTAATACTTTTATTGAAAATGGATAATGGCCATTTGTTTGTCATACATAAGTTATAAAGATCATTTTTGTTGCTTACTCCTATTTTGAGTTGTCGATCCGGCGGATCGATTATGACAACTCTAGTTAAAAAATTATCCTTGCTGTTTGTTTGGGACGGTTCTAGCAAGTGATAAGGCTAAATATAATATATTTATTACCTATAATTAATTAGCACAATTAATGTGTTCTTTGATGTGTTATACATAGAGTTAATGAAAAGTAATCTATAGAAAAAGGGAATAAAATGGAGAAGAAAAGATAGATTTTATATATTTTCTCTCTTATACAAACATCACAGGGGAGCGCTTTACATTCTACGATTGCTCCGATCGCTCTGTTTGCTCCATTTGCTCCGAACATAATTTTGACGGCTTCCCTAAGCAGTATCGTCTTAACGGGAAAAACTTTAAGAGATGAGAATCAGAAAGTATGCTATTCACTTATCAACTAACTGTGTTGCTCATTCATTGTCATTATTACAGCTCTTTCACATTTTAAATCTTAAACCAAACATATACAATGCGTTCAGTAAATTACACATAAAACTAAGACTAAGACTGTTTTACTCACGAAAAGTGAGAGTCATCAAAGGTCACCGACCTATAATAACAATGACTCAAGCCAAACAGCACAAAAACAGTAATAAAAAAGAACAAAATAAACAAGACAACTAAGGTTAGAACCAGAAGTAGTAAAATAAGAACAAATTTTTCAAAAAATAAAAAAATAAGCAAACAAGAACGAATATAAGTTCTTAACTGATAAACGTTTCACCGGAAGAGATACTGTATTAAAGCTGTTTTGAAAGGCGTAGGATAAAAAAGCCGATCACATTTTATGAGACAAACTCCTTCATTACCGATACCGTTTTCTTGGGTCGTGTTTCATAAAGAAACTTAACTCTGATTTAAGTCAAAAAAGACAAAGAACCTTTTAGACTTAAGTTTCTTTATGAAATAGGTCCCCAGATTTGACATGACGAATAGAATAATAGCAAAGATGTCACTATATACACAAATCTAGATTTACACAAATCTAATGCATTAAAATGGTGTCTGAACTCTTTTCGTTTTCCCTGGAAACGCGTAGAAATGCGAAAGAATGCAGCTTCTTGGTACTTGTCAATTGGCGATACCTTTGCTTTCAGCCGATAAATGCAGATACTTTTCATTAAGCGAAAGCGACCTGGTCAGGCTAAGAGACCCCTCGTTTTGTTTCGCATTCGATGCTGATTCCGAATATGTGAGGGATTTGAAGAACACGGCGACATTTTTGTGCCGAGTGAAAGCATTCGATGAGGAGCGACAGGGGTGTCATACGTCTACAGTCCAATGATACGACGGGGGACGTGGTGACCCTGTAACGCCGTAGTATGACATCTGCTGTCGCGAATCATTGTATGTGATCTCTCCATATGATATGCACCATCGGATTGATATTAGAACAACATTGCGCCTGAACAACAGGCCCATCTGGGGGCCTGTTTCATAAAGAAACTTAAGTCTAAAAGGTTCTTTGTCTTTTTTGACTTAAATCAGAGTTAAGTTTCTTTATGAAACACGACCCAAGAAAACGGTATCGGTAATGAAGGAGTGTGTCTCATAAAATGTGATCGGCTTTTTTATCCTACGCCTTTCAAAACAGCTTTAAT